GTAAGTAAATCTGTGTGGCTAGAGCTTAAAGTGTAAGACAGGTGCAACACAAAAGTATCTGAGACAGGACTCAATCAATTTAGAAGTATATTTTGCCAAGGTTAAGGACACGCACACAGGAGACAGGTCTGTGCCTTTTGCCAGAGATGATTTTGAGAGCTTCAATATCTAAAGGGGAAAGGGGTGGATATTGGGGAGAGGAGAATTATTAGTAGTATAATTTTTTTGAGATGGAGTTTCGCTCTTGTTGCTCAGGCTGGAGTGCAATGGCGTGATCTTGGCTTACCGTAACCTCCGCCTCCTGGGATCAAGCGATTCTCCTGCCTCAGCCTCCCAAGTAGCTGGGATTACAGTCATGCATCATCACACCCAGCTAATTTTTGTATTTTTAGTGGAGATGGAGTTTCTCCATGTTGGTCAGGCTGGTCTCAAAATCCCAACCTCAGGTGATCAGCCTACCTTGGCCTCCCAAAGTGCTGGGATTACAGGCATGAGCTACCCAGCAGGGCCAAAAAATTTTTTAGAGGTGTGAGCAGATAAGAGGCAAACGGTGGTACTCCTTTGAGTCTTTGATTAGTCATTGACACGTGAGATGGGGGTAGAGGGATAGACACTTATGCATTCATCTAGCTCAATGAATCTGCATTTTTACGTAAGATAAAATAAACATAGGCCAGAGGAAGCAATCACATATTGTCTCAGGTGAGCAGAGGAATGATTTTGAGTTCTGTCCTATGTCCCACACCTGTGAATATAAGCTATCAATTTACATTGTGAGGGTGAAATTCAACAGAACTGTTTTAGGGTAGAGACCTTGGGGCTCACAAGAAATTTCCTAGTGGGTAAATTGTGAGGGAGGTATGTAGCTTTTTTGTTTTGTTTTCTTTTGAGACAGGGTCTCACTCTGTTGCCCAGGCTGGAGTGCAGTGTCTCCATTATGGCTCAATGCAGCCTTTGACCACCGAGGCCCAAACGATCCTCCCACCTTAGCCCCGCAAGTAGCTGGGATTATAGGCACGTGCCACCATGCCCGACTAATGTTTGTATTTTTGTAGTTTTTGTACAGACAGGGTTTCACCATGTTGCCCAAGCTGGTCTCAAACTCCTGGGTTCAAGTGATTGCCTGCCTCAGCTTCCCAAAGTGCTGGGATTACAGGTAGGAGCCACTGCGCCTGGCCTATGTAGCTTATCTTTGAATAAGAAGCAGGTTTGTGTGACACAGTCCCCAGCTTGACTTCTCCCTTTGGCTTAGTGATTTTGGGGTCCCAAGATCTACTTTCTTTTCCCACAGGTAAAGACCAGAGAAGAGACTGGTGGGAGAGAGACAGGAGCCAGATCCTGAATGAAGGTAAATTGAATCCTGGAGGGAACCCAACAAAACCCTGAAAACCTCCAGGAATCTCAGTTTGGCCAAATCCATGGTAATGTAGTGCTACTCCCCAGGACGGCCACACTGCACATACCCTATCTAAAGGGAACCTCCTGCAGAGGCCAAGGAAAAACGTTCCCTTTGTCCTCTGGAGGTTGAAAAATCAACTGCAAAAAGCAAATTAACAGGGAAAAAGATGTACATGTATTATTATAAAAATATTATTGTGCGTGTGGGGGAACTGCAGAGTAATTACTCCACCTCTCAATGGGTTCAGAAGCTTATATACCCCGCCTGAGGTTACAGTAAATTTGGGGGCTCACAGAATGGCCCAAAACAGTTAATGGTGGTAAATCAGGATTTGGTGGCAAGACAGAAATGGAGACTTGGCTAGCAATATCATCTCATTATGTAGATAAGGGGTCACCAACCCTCGGGCCATTTATATTGTAGCCATTTACATGCCTGTTAGGAACAGGACAGCACAAGAGGTGAGTAGCTGGTGAGTGAGCATTACCTCCTGAGCTCTGTCTAGTGTCAGGTCAGCAGCTGGTATTAGGTTCTCTGAGGAGCAGGAACCCTACTGTGAACTGCACGTGCAAGGGATCTGGGCTGCAGCTCCTTATGAGAATCTAATGCCTCATGATCTGAGGTGAAACAGCTTCATCCTGAAAACCATCCCACGGCCCTGGTCCATGGAAAAATTGTCTTCCATGAAACCTATCCCTGGTGCCGAAAAGGTTGGGGACCGCTGATGTAGATGAAACCTCACAGGTAGCAGCCACTGGATGAGAATAGATGGTTAATGTTTCTTTCAGATCTTTATTTTATTATATTTTATTTTTATTTATTTATTTATTTTTTGGTAAGGCTAAGTCAAGTGAAGCAATGGGAGTGGAGAAGGAACAAAGAAATCTGTAACTGGTTGTGATCAATTAGCTGTAAACACCACTGCACCTGGACCAGCCTATTTATTTATTTTTTGAGATGGAGTCTCGCTCGGTCATCCAGGCTGGAGTGCAATGGCACAATCTCGGCTCACTGCAAACTTCACTTCCCAGGTTCAAGTGATTGTCCTGCCTCAGCCTCCTGAGTAGCCGGGACTACAGGTGCCTGCCACCACACCTGGATAATTTTTGTATTTTTAGTAAAGACAGGGTTTCACCATATTGGCCAGGCTGATCTCAAACTCCTGACCTTGTGATCCTCCCACCTCAGCCTCCCAAAGTGCTGGGATTACAGGCGTGAGCCACCATGCCTGGCTTCTTTGAGACCTTTAAAGGTATCAGATTCTCCACTAATCTTCCCTATATCCGGTCAAGGGAAAGCTTCAGAGAATGCCTGGCTGCATGAATGCAGATTTTCTCCAAATACGCAAGCCTCTCCCATAAAAAAACAGCTTTGTAGGACTGTTTCTGCCTGCAGGTCCTCTGAACAGCCCTCTCAAAATATGTGAAAGAAGTATATTTTGGAGTGAAGTTTTTTGGTTTCCTTCACTATGCATCCTTCCTGGGGTGTTATTCTTGCCACTGGTTTCATGTTCTCAGACTCACAAAGTTGAAAGAGTTGGGGGTGCAGAATTCGATGTGCTTCATCCTTTGCAGGCTTGAAGAGTCTCTGGTTCCCAAACTTAGTCCCTGGGGCCCTCTGCTTCAAAGGCAAATAAAGGGAAAAAGAATCTTGCTCAACCTTAAGAGAGGAAATGACTCAACAGGTTTAAAACAAAAAAAGGAAAAAGATGGAGGCATTTTGTAGGTGAAAGGGCAAGAGTCTTCTGATGCAAAATAAGAGGTCATTAGAGCAGGGCTGGATTACCAATAAGCAGACCAAACATTTGTTTAGGGAACAAACGAGGCTGAACGTGAAAAAGAAAAGAAAAACATAGGCCAGGCGCGGTGGCTCAAGCCTGTAATCCCAGCACTTTGGGAGGCCGAGGCGGGTGGATCACGAGGTCAAGAGATCGAGACCATCCTGGTCAACATGGTGAAACCCCGTCTCTACTAAAAAAATACAAAAAATTAGCTGGGCATGGTGGCGCGTGCCTGTAATCCCAGCTACCAAGGAGGCTGAGGCAGGAGAATTGCCTGAACCCGGGAGGCGGAGGTTGTGGTGAGCCGAGATTGCGCCATTGCACTCCAGCCTGGGTAACAAGAGTGAAACTCCGTCTCAAAAAAAAAGAAAAACATAGTAATCTGATTGCTTCAAGCACTGAAGATGGCAATATAGGAAAAACCCCAAGCCACTTTTTTGGACTTCCTAACACATATTTTACGGTTTAGTATTTATGGCTTAGTATTATATTTTATTTTGAATTACATGAGGGGAAGAAGGGAAAAATACTATAATTTTTCTTGCTAAGTAAGGACCATTATATATTCAGGTATAATGGAATAAGGGAGACCATTTTAATGGGTCAGTTTGGAGTTTATCTTCCCTGAGAGCTGGGGGAGGCCGAGGCCGGACAACTTCATCTGGAGATCTCCTCTCACGGGGGAAGAAGTCCCACGAGACCTACCTGACCCCGGGCGGCGACACAACTTGTTTGCTCAAATAATCTGGTTCCAAATCCGCGCGTTTTACACAGGAAGAAAAACTGGGACTCAGATGACAATTTCAAAGTTGTCTTTGAAAAACAATGCATAACCCCGCACACATAAAGTTGCCTGTCTCACATAAGCCTACGCAGCTATCATTCTAGAGTGATCTCAAGTCTTGTCTTGTCTTTTTTTTTTTTTTAAGACAGGGTCTTACTGTCACTCAGGCTGGAGTCCAGTGGTGCGATCTTAACTCCTCGCTGCCTCGATCACCTGTGCTCAAACGATTCTCTCACCCTTAGCCTCCCCCACCCTACCCCCAACCCCGCCAAACAGGTGGGACTAGCTGAGCCTACAGAAGCACGCGCCGGGCTACGTTTTTTTTTTTTTCTCTTTTGCATTTTGGGAGAGACGGGGTTTCGCTATGTTGCCCTGGCTGGTCTCGAACTCCTGACCTCAGGTGATTCGCCCGCATCGGCCTCCCAAAGTGCTCGGATTACAGGCGTGAGCCACTGCGCCCAGCCTCCACAAAACTTTTAAAAGTTATTAGTTCGCTGTAAATAACAGCGGAGAAGCCATTGTGCAGCGCCACGCGATCTCGGTTCACTGCAGCCTCGTCCTCCCAGACTCAAGCGATCCTCCCATCTTAGCCTCGCAAGTAGCTGGGGCCACATGCGTGCGCCACGACGCTGGGCTATTTTTAAATTTTTTTAATTAAAAAAAAAAAAATCTTAGCAAGGATGGTCTCGAACTTTTGGGCTCGACAGATTCTCTCGCGTCAGCCTCCAAAAGTATTGTGATTACAGGCGTGAGCCATCACGCCCGGCCGCTATTTTCACTTTTAATGAGTTCTATTCTGAGGACTAACGTCATTCAACAAGTTAGTGTGAATTTGTTTTCGTTTCCCATTTGCCCCGGGTCTCTCAGGACCCCGACCCCAGGCAGGGCTACCCTAACTCCCAGCCGCCCCAGGCAGGACCCCGGCTCCGCTCCCGATAGGCTCCTCGGCCCGCGGCGGGGCCCCTCACCCAGGCAGCGCACCCTCCCACTGGGACCTGGCCCCCACCCCTCTAGGAGGGCCAGCGTTGGGGGAGGGCGCCGGGACGTGCCCGAGGGCGACACTCGGGGTTGGGACCCGGCGCGCTGCCGCGGGTCACGTGCTGCGGAGGCGCGGGGAGGGGCGGCTAGGCGGAGTTAATAGCCCGGACGCCCGCGGGCCCCACGTTTTGCCCGGGTTCTGGCTGCCGGAATCGCTTTCCGGACGCGCCTGCTCTTCGCCATTCGCTGCCGTCCGACGGTGAGTGAGCGCCCAACTCGGTGTCCCAGCGAGCCGGTCCGGGGACCCCAGCGGCGCCCAGATGGGGTGGGGGGCTCCCCGGGGCCTCGGGGCCGCTGCTATGCTCCCCGCGGGGCTCTAAGGTGCGCGGGACGGCGGGGGTGGTGGTCAGGGACCCCGCCAGCCTCGCGGCTTCCAGGTCCTGGCCGGGTGGGTGCAGACTCCTGGACCGGCGCTTTCCACCCTCGCCTTTGTGCGTTGAGCCTTCTTTCCTGCCAACAGATTGAGGGCGATTGCTATCAAATGACCCTTGGCCTGCCTAGATGGTTGTGGGGAAACAATTAACATTTGTCCAAGGTACGGTATCGAAAGGCAAATGCTTTAGAAAGCCGAATTTTTTTTTTCTTTTTGAGACCGAGTCTCTGTCGCTCAGACTGGAGTGCAGTGGCGCGATCTCGGCTCACTGCAACCTCCACCTCCCAGGTTGAAGCGATTCTCACTCAGACTTCGGAGTAGCTGGGTTTACAGGCAAGCGCCACCATGCCCGGCTAATTTTTGTATTTGTAGCAGAGACTGGGTTTCACCATGTTGGTCAGGATGGTCTTGAACTCCTGCTCTCAAGCAATCCACCCGCCTCAACCTCCCCAAGTGCTGGGATTACAGCCGTGAGCCACCGTGCCCGGCCTGAAAACCATGTTTTATGGGTACACATTTTGTGGGTACCGAATGGGAGTGGGCTGACGATACTGGCGTCTCTTCCGCCTTCAGGGTAGTGGTGGCTTATTTCCTGCAGAAGTGGAATCTTGGCGAGGGGAGGGTGAGCTGGCAGGCCCGAGCACAGAGGACAGCGAGCAGGTTCTTTCTCTCCCAGCTCCCCTGCTGGTGGCTTTGTGTAGGGATGGGCTTTGGGGATAATAAGGTGATGTTTAAAGGCGTCCTGAAATGCTTCTTCCTCAGAGCACCTCCTTGCTCTCATGCGTAGTTTCTCCTAAACTAGCTTCCATCCTTTCACAAGGAAGTTTTAATATGTCCCCCGCAAAGGGTTCCCACTTGATAGTCCTGTGATCCCCAGAATAATACAGGCAGACCAAGATGTCTTCTATTTGAAATCTCTTTAGTCTTAACCTGGATTTTAATTTGGCTAGCATTTTTGTGAACAGATCCTGTCCTTCAAAAGCATCTCTATATCTTGGTGGAGAAACAAGACAAGTATATCAACAACTTTGCTTTTCCCTCCTGAGTATTGCAAGTTTACACATAAGCTCTGAAACCTTGCCTCAGAAGAGGGAGTGGGGTTGTGTGCGTGTGGGTCTTTCAGGAGGGGGACTCTGAGAGCTGGAGAGTGGAAAGAAGTGCAGAAGACTACACAAAACTCATCTTGATTTTTTTCTCTACATGAAATCAGCATTTGCTTGCATTTGGGAACAAATTTGGGAAAGTCTTATCCCAGTGTTCTGAAATAACTCTCTTTTCTGCAGATTTCTCTCTCCAGTAAGAAAAATGGGATCCGTTGCAGTTGATCCACCACTGGTATGAATTTTGAGTAACCTTTGCCTACTTTCTCTCCTCTTGTGTTTTGAGAGATTAACAAGCCCACCCTCCCTACTTTGATTGCAGAGTGTGGTGACTCGGGTGGTCAACCTGCCCTTGGTGAGCTCTACATATGACCTCATGTCCTCAGCCTATGTCAATACAAAGGACCAGTATCCCTACTTGAAGTCTGTGTGTGAGATGGCAGAGAAGGGCGTGAAGACCATCACCTCGGTGGCCCTGACCAGTGCTCTGCCCATCATCCAGAAGCTAGAGCCGCAAAGTGAGTTCTGATTTTTCAAGATGCAGTCAAGGGACTGGTCAGTGGTAAGCCCCTGAGCTCACAGCAGTAACATCAGGGACTCCTCAGCCCTTCCTGGGGCATACACTGCCTTTACCTAGAAACTTTCAGGTGACCCTCATTATCACAGAAGTCCTGTTTCTTTTTTCTTTTTTTTTTTTTAAGATGGGATTTCACCATATTGGTCAGGCTGGTCTCGAACTCCTGACCTCAGGTGATCCGCCTGCCCCAGCCTCCCAAAGTGCTGGGATTACAGGCGTGAGCCACCGTGCCCGGCTTCTTTTTCTTTTTTATTTTTTTTGAGACAGTCTCGCTTTGTTGCCCAGGCTGGAGTACAGTGGTGTGATCTCAGCTCACTGCAACCTCCTCCTTTCGGTTTCAAAAGATTCTCCTGCCTCAGTCTCCTGAGTAGCTGGGACTACAGGTTCCTGCCACCATACCCGGCTACTTTTGTATTTTTGGTAGATATGGGGTTTCACAATATTGGCCAGGTTGGTCTTGAACTCCCGACCTTGTGATCCGCCCACCTCAGCCTCCCAAAGTGCTGTGATTACAGGTGTGAGCCACCATGCCTGGCCATCGAAGGCCTGTTTCATAGCATTGGCAGTTTATGACACTTCAAGTAAAACTATGAGAATATTCATACTCTCATACTTACTAGTCTCTCCCTCATTTCCTTCCAACCACCCTGAGGCAGCTACTAATCTGAAAGATAGATTAACTTTCAAAACATTATGCCGGATGAAAGGGATAAAAAGGAATGAAGCAGTAACTTCCACACTTTATTGTGGAATAGTAATTTACTGTCTAGACAGATAATATTTTATTTATTCATTCCTCAATTAATGGATGTTTGGGTTCATTCTACTCTTGGAGATTATGTATAATGCTTCTGTGAACATTTGTGTACAAGTTTTTATGTGGACATATGTTTTCAGGTTTTTTTGGTATATACCTAGGAGTGGAATTGCTGGGTTATATAATAACTGTTTAAGCTTTTGAGCTGCCAGACTGTTTTCCAAATCAGCCGTGCCATTTTACGTTGCCACCAACACTATATGGAGGCTCCAATTTCTCCACATCATGAACTGCTTTTGAATAAAGATTTAAATCATTCCTCCCTCAAATAGTTAAGCCAGGGACTTTTAGGATTATCAAGAGCCTTTAGAGACCAGCCATTCCAAATCTGCTACTTCCTAAATGAATTTGGTGCTAGTACTTGGCTTGGTATTCTTAGCAGGAAGCTCACACTAAAATCTCCCTTGTTAGGGAGATCCAGGGTGGTCTTAGCATACTCTTTCCCTATGAGAACCCCAAATACACTGTCATGTGCTGAAGTAAGTGTAGGTAGGGATTAAACCGGCACGGGAATGCTAATTTTGAGACGGTTTCCAGGGAAAGGCTTATTCTCTGAATGAGAGTTCAGGGAAAGCCTGGCTATTCTTGGCATTAACGTTAGGGGCCAGTTGATGAGGAAGAAGCTTCAGAGCCAGCTTCCTGTTTGGCCTTTCACTGCCTCTGCCTGCTCCTCCCTCACACCCCGGTGCTTCCTTATCTGCAGAAGAAAGTTGCCAGCAACTTGCCAGGCCTCGTGTTGTCAGAGCTGAAGAAACCAGGCAATTCATTCTGTGGTAAAAGATCAACGTTCTTGCCATTTTTGTAAAGCTAAAAGTATAAGTTATGGTAATGTGTTCATTCTATACGTACACACTACATTAACACTTTCCCATTTGTGATTTTAGTTGCAATTGCCAATACCTATGCCTGTAAGGGGCTAGACAGGATGGAGGAGAGACTGCCTATTCTGAATCAGCCATCAACTCAGGTGAGCTTGGAACAAAAGTGCTGAGGCTTGACACCTCACATGTTTTCATCTTCTGTTAGCACAAGCTGTACATACCCCAAGTAGGCAAATACTTGTTTTTCCAACCTGGATCTGGATGTGTGTTTGAAAGAAGAATGGCCACTTCCTTACTTCCTGAACTGTTGTCAAGTTGTTTCTATGAAACAGAGAAGAACTAGCCTCCTTTGGATTAGAAAACTTTTAGTGTGATCTCTATCAATTTATGTCTTTGCTCTTGCAGATGAAATTGTTGTCGCAAATAACTGATTCCCTTGTGGTGTTAAATAAATGCAGAGGTGATATATAGAACCTTTTCTCACCTGGCTTGTACAGTGCTGCTAGGAACTATCATCCATATGGGAGAGCTAGCCAATGTTGATGACAATGATAGGCTCATCTGTCCTGGTGATCCTTTGGTTCAGATAATGCCCTAAAATTTTGTTTCAAATGAAGAATACAGAATGGCACAAAAGGATGCAAGTTAGGGAAAAATATAGCTGTACTGTTTTTTCATAATCTAAATAGTCATTTGTCACTTAATGGTGGGAATATGTTTTGATAAATGCATCATTAGGTCAGTTTGCCATTGTGTGAACATCATAGAGTATAGTCTCACAAACCTAGATGGTACAGCCCAGTAGTCCCCAGGGTTTTTGACACCAGGAACTGATAGTCCCAGCTACTCCGCAGGCTGAGGCAAGAGAATCCCTCAAACCAGGAGGTGGAGGTTGCAGTGAGCCGAGATTATGCCATTGCACTCCAGCCTGGGAAACAAGAGTGCAACTCCGTCTCAAAATAAATAAATAAATAAATAAATAAATAGATAAAAATGAAAAATTTCGTTGAGTTATTGAAAGCCAATAGTTTTCAATAGTTTTAAGAAGACCTTCTCCCAAGGTATTAACAAGTAATTTAGAGAAGGTTTTCTTGCCAGTGTTTCCTGTGGCTATGTGCCATCCTTCCTCCAGGTTCTCCCCATCAATGTATCCTCTAAACACAGACAATTGCAAATTAATAACACCCAGAGGGCCAGGTATAGTTTGATCTTCAGTTTCCTCTCTAGATTTATGT